ACACAGCAGATTAGGGGAAGCTGAGGATTGAATCAGTGAATTAGAAGACAGAGTTGAAAATATCACTCAATCAGAAAACCAAAAAGAAAAAAAACAATTAAAAAAACAGGAGGACAGCTGTTGGACAACCTGAAATGTAACAATATCAGAATAACAGGTGTGCCAGAAGAGGCAGAAAGGGAGAAAGGCAAAGGGAAGGTGTTTGAAGAAATAATAGCAGGAAACCTTCTTAATCTGGTAAAGGAAAAAGTCACAGAAGTTCAGGAGGTACATAGAACCCCAAATAAGGAGAACCCAAACAGGCCCACGCCCAAACATAGTAATTAAAATGCCAAAAATGAAAGGAAAAGAGAGAATCTTAAAGGCAGCAAGAGAAGAGAAAACTGTTACCTGCAAAGGAGTTCCCATAAGGCTGACGCCTGATTTGTCATCATAAACTCTATAGGCCAGAAGGGAATGGCATGAAGTACTCAAGGTAATGAAAAGCAAGGATCTGAGATCAAGATTACTATATCCAGCAAGGCTATCATTCAAAATAGACGGTCAAATAAAGAGCTTCCCATACAAAAACAGGCTAAAAGAATACATCACCACCAAGCCAGCATTACAAGAAATGCTAAAGGGACTGCTGTAATGAGAAGAAGAAACAGAGAGAAACCTAGCCATTCAGAATTAAAATGGCAATAAATAAGTACCTATCAATAATAACCCTAAATGTAAATGGATTAAATGCTCCCAACAAAAGACATAGGGTAGCTGTATGGATACAAAAATGACCCAACTATCTGCTGTCTACAAGAGACCCACCTAAAAACAAAAGACACACACAGGATGAGAGTGAAGGGATGGAAAAAAATCTTTCATGCAAATGGAAAAGAAAAAAAAAAGCTGGAGTAGCAATACTCATATCCAACAAAATAGACTTTAAAATGAAGGCCACCACAAGAGACAACAAAGGTGATTACATAATACTAAAGAGATAGATCCAACAAGAGGATATAACCAACCATGGTAAACATATTTGCACCCAACATAGGTACACCTAATACATAAAAAAAAAAAAACTTCTAGAGGACTTTAATGGAGAAATTGGCAACAATACAGTCACAGAGGAGACTTTAACACCCCTCTTACTTCACTGGATAGATTTTCCAGACAAAAACTTAACAAGGAAAAGAGACTCTAAAGGACACAGTGGATCAGATAAATTTAATTGACATTTATAGAACATTTCACCCCAACACAGCAGAATATACATTCTTCTCAAGTGCAGATGGATCATTCATAAAGATAGACCACAAGATAGGACACAAAATAGATCTTTACAAGTTCAAGAAGATTGAAATCATATCAAGCATCTTCTCAGATCACAGTGGAATGAAATTAGAAATCAACTACAGTAAAACCACCTCAAAACATTCAAACACATAGAGGCTAAATAGCATGTTATTAAACAATGAATGCATTACCAACAAGATTAAGAAAGAAATCAAAACTTCCTGGAAACAAATGAAAATGAACACACAACAACCCAAAATCTCTAGGACACAGCAAAAGTAGTCCTGAGAGGGAAATTCATAGCACTACAGGCCTACCTCAAAAAACAAGAAAAATCAGCAATAAATTATTTAATCCTACAACTTAAATAACTATAAAGGGAACAATAAGAAAAGCCTAGTGTAAGTAGAAGGAAGGAAATAATAAAGATTAGAGCAGAAATAAATAACATAGACTAAAAAAAATATACAAAAAATTAATGAAACCAAGAGCTGGTTCTTTGAAAGGATAAACAAAATTAATAAACCATTAGCCAGATGCATCAAGAAACAAAGAGAGAGGACCCAAATAAATAAAATCATTAACAAAAGTGGAGGAGTAACCACTGATACAACAGAAATACAAAGGATTGTAAGAAAATACTATGAACAACTACATGCCAACAAGCTGGACAATGTGGATCAAATACACAAATTCCTAGAAAAAGACAATCTCCCAAAACCAAATCAGGAAGAATAAAAAAACTTGAATAGGCCAATAACAACTGATGAAATAGCAACAGTAATAAAAAAACTCCCACCAAACAAAAGCCCAGGTCCAGATGGCTTCACAGGGGAGTTTAATAAACATTCAGAGAAGAACTAACACCTATACTCCTCAATTTCAGAAAATACAAGAGGAAGGAACATTTCCAAGCTCTTTTTAAGAGGCCAGAATTATCCTAATTCCAAAGCCAGATAAAGACACTACAAAGAAAGAGAATTACAGGCCAATATCCCTGATGAATAGGGATGCTAAAATCCTCAACAAAATATTAGCAAATCACATCCAGCAACATATTAAAAAAATCATACACCATGATCAAGTGGGATTTATCCAAGGGATGCAATGCTGGTACAATATTCACAAATCAATAAACATGATACATCACATAAACAAATTGAAAAACAAAAATCACATGATCATATCAATAGACACAGAAAAAGCTTTCGACAAAATCCAACACCCATTTTTGATAAAAACTCTCAGCAAAGTGAGGATAGAGGGAGCATATCTCAACATGATAAAGGCCATATATGACAAACCTACAACCAACATCAGACTCAATGGGCAAAAACTAAAACCATTTTCCCTAAGAACAGGAACAAGACAGGGATGACTACTTTTACCACTCCTGTTTGACATAGTACTGGAAGTGCTAGCCATAGTGATCAGACAAGAAGAAATAAAAGGCATTCAAATTGGAAAAGAAGGAAAACTGTCATTATTCATAGATCACATGATATTGTACATAGAAAACCCTGAAAGACTCCATAAAAAAGCTATTAGATTTAATAAGTAAATTCAGCAATATAGCAATATACAAAATTAACACCCAGAAATCTATGGCTTTTTTATACAACTACTAGACACCCAGTGCATGAATTCGTGTACTGGTGGGGTCCCTTGGCATGGCTTGTGGGGATCAGGCCGAAACCAGTAATCCAACATCCCCAAAGGGATGTAGTAATGCATGAAGTGTCAGGTGGCCAGGGAGGAGCCGGAGCCTGGGCCTCGTGCTACACTGCTCCCACTCATTCCAGCCCCATGCATCTGCCACCACCGCTGCTAGGTAGGCTCACTGCCGCTCCATTGCCATCTTCTCATGCCCATCATAATGTGATAACAAGGCACCCATGACCAAAAGTGGCCATGGGCTTGTGCCCAGTCAGCCCCGATGCCAGTCTAGATCCGGGTCCAGGTCAGGATGGGGGAGGGGCGCATAGGGGGAGTGTCCATGGGAAAGGCTCGAGCCACGGGAGAGGCTTGAGCCATGGCAACTGTGATTGCCCGCCGTGAGCCAGTGTCTGGTGCCTATAGGTCAGCTGAGTAGCGCTCCCACTGTGGGAGCCACTAACCACCAGGGAGCAGCTCCTGGGTCGAGAGTCTGCCCCTGGTGGTCAGTGCACATCATAGCAACTGGTTGAATGGTCGAGTGGTAGCTTAGGCATAGATAGATAGATAGATAGATAGATAGATAGATAGATAGATAGATATAGATAGATAGATAACTCACAGAAAATGAAACTAAAAAAACAATC